CTGAGATGTAACAGGAAGTTGGCTTGGTAGCTTCCTAGAAAATTTTTCCTTCTTGGTAAAAGTAGAAAATGAGGAGAATGCATTTTTTTCTTCCTCATTCTTCCTCCCTTTCTGTACGTTTTGTGATGAAGAAAAATTTGGAGGACCTCCCTGGTGGTGCAGTGGGTTGAGCGCAGCGCTGTGATGCTGTCCGTAGCCTCTGCAGTGTGGGTTGGATCCTGGTTGTATTTCAAATAAATAAATAAATCTTTAAAATAAATAAATCTTTAAAAAAGAAAAAAGAAACATTTGGAGCTGCTGTAGCCAACAAGAGACCATCAGAACAAAGTCCACATTCAACTGCTGAAGCATCCTGAACGCTCTTTGTTGTATGACACAATTGTCTATCTTTACTTTTTAAGTCATTGCTGGCAACATGCCTGTTAGGTATAGCCTAAAATATCCCATATCATTTTTATTTCTGCATTAGAGAGTATCCATCATGCTTGCATTTGTTAACTAGGAAACAGAAGGTTATGTTCTATTTGTTCCTGCCCTGGAATGACTGCTAGTTGAAGTTGACTGAAGTTGAACAGGCTGAACCTTTGGACTAATGTAAATATTCAAATAAGAAAGAAAGAGTAGAACACATAGACCACTACAGTCACTCTACACAGAAACACCATTAGAGTACCCCAACCAGGAGGAACTGCCTGCTTATATGAATGTGACTTTTATTTATTTATTTATTTTATACATTTTTTAAAAATGTTTATTTGTTTATGCAAGCACTGGGATATAAGACAGAGGCGTGAAAGGGTGTGAGGATTCACCAGAGACAGAGTGGGGAGCAGAACAGGCAGATGGATGGAAATATACTGCTGCGGGGAGCAGCGGGCAAGACAGGAGAGGTCTGCTCCCTGGCCAGTGGGGATCGAACCCACACTAGAGAGGCTACTGCGGACAGCTTCACAGTGCTGCGCTGAACCCTCTGCGCCACCAGGGAGGCCCTGAATGTGACTTTTAAAGACAATACTTTTCTAATGCTATTCCATCTGTTACACTCATTCCCCTTTTTTCATTTTGATTCCTGTGTTTAAGTGGAATGCGCCTTGAGCACTACATTTCCATTCATAAAACTTGCTGTCACTCCCCTTTTTACAGCTTTATCGATGCATAATTCATATATCATTCATATTCCCTATTTAAAAAGGATTTGCGACCTGCTTTTCAGAAATGATGAAGACCAGCAAGTATAACCTTTCCTACTCCATCCCAGGCCTCTCTAGCTGAAGGTCTCTATTTCTATACTTACCACTTCACAGTCTAACCCTTCCACGCATGATTCCTTATATCCTTGGTCTTTGCTCCATCAATAATCTTTAATGTCTTTTCCTCAGTGTAAGAAACTAGCTCTAAGGCCTCCCTGGTGGCACAGGGGTAAAAGTCTCAGTGCGATCAAGCTTTCACCAACCACTGCAGCATAAATTTGATCCCAGGCCAGGGAGCTGACCCACATGACTCTGCAGACCTACATCTCCTGTCTCACCTGCTGCTCCCCTCAGCAGTGTATTTCAGTAGATCTGCCTGTTCTGCTTCCCACTGTCTCTGGTGAATCCTCTCACCTCCCACCTTTGGCCTACACCCCAGTTCTTATATGCAAAAATAAATAAAAATAAATCTTAGGAAAAAAAGAAAGAAAGAAACTAGGTATTAGGTGGGTCTTTGTAAAGGAGGCCAAGCAGCAGGGTGTGACATGAATGGGGTTAAGCTGAGCAGTGTGGTCAGACAGTAAGAGGTCTGGGCAAGGCAAGACTGCTGACTACACCCGGGTGGCAGGGCTTGGCCAGTTTAGGAGACTGAACAGACTTTACAGCCTCTTTTAAAGGTAGCAATCAGGGTCAGAGAAGCAAACTAATTAGATTCTTCAGAACTGTGGTCCACAGTCACTACTAGAAAGGACTTGTTCTCTGGTTGAGGTCAAGGAAACCATCTGCCTTTCATCTATTGTAGTAAAGGAATTTTTCTAGTCAGCACTTTTCCCTGCCAGAGCCTCCTGATACCAGCGACATTAAAAAACTTAATCCCCAAAACTGAAAGCAACCAACAAACACATTTTAAAATGAATATGGAAGGAAAGAAGGGAAGGAGAAAAATAAATGGAAGGAAGGGAGAAGGGTAGAGAGAAAAAGAGGAAGGAGGGACAGAAGAAGAAAGGCAGGAAATCAGCCTTGATCTCATCAAGATCTCTCAGTGTTCATGTCAAAGGCAAGGATTGGCTGAAGCTATGAGTCCCTCGTGGTTAGCTAATTCCTCAGAGTAGGATAATTTTCTTCATAGTTTTTCACTTTCAGTAACTTGAGGAAAAGCAATGGCAAGGACAATTTATAAATGTTGCTACCAGCGAATGCCTCTGTATGTCCTTATTGGGCATTCTTGAAGGTTACCAATGGGCTCCTAAAACTGCAAACTCAGTGCTGTCTTCCTGGCCTCAAAGCATACCTCCACACCCAACCCCTCTCATCCCCCACACACCTAGCAACAGATTTCTTAAAGCTGCTCTTATTGGTTGTTCATTTCCCTCCCATCTGTCTGATGACATTAGTCCCAATAGTCTACTGACTATTTGGGAGTCACTAAGTTTTAACTCTTGGTTCTCCACTGTTTCCTGTCTTCACCCTCTCTTCCTTGGAAATCTTCCCTGAGGATAAACCCCTAACAATAAATGTCTATTGCTCAATTTTGTATTTCCAGGCTGTAATTATTACAATCCCATCTCTCCAACTATCTTCTGTGGATGCATTTGTGATCACTTCAAATTGAAACCTTGAAACCTGCCTTAGCTTTACCTACTCCAATGTGTTGTTCTGCTACTTTTTTTTTTTCCTATTTCTACTACTTTATGCCATTTTCTTAGTTAATCCAACTGTTAAACAGTATTTGTCTCCATTTACACTCTATTATGACAAACTCAAATCTTTCCTCCTTTCCAGAATAAAAATTTTTCCAGCAGGACTATTAACCAAACAGATGTGTTCAACACCAAATTACAATATCTACAAGAGAAAGTTAGAAAGACATAAAGTACCATCTTATATTTTTAACATTTTTCATTTCTGAAAAACACATATTTGAAGATGAGGGTTTTTTTTTTTTTAAGAAATATATGTAGCAAAAAGGCATTGCTTTTATCTATCTATAGTTCTTGAGGTTCAGAAAGCAGTAGACCATATTTACAGAAAATTCATTATTGATTCAGATAGATGGGCCTTAATCAATACACTATTTGCAATGTGGAGTTCTCTCTCCATGGATGTATTAGAATTAGAAACTATAATGGAAATCATCTATACCCACAACATGGCAGAGTTCTTCCAGAACACAGGGAAAGGTATTGTAGCCATTTGAATGTTTAGAAATTTCAACTATAGGAGTAAGGGTTTTTAGAAAGCTGATATGAGTGAAAGAAGCAGTAATGTAAACAACTTAGGATAATACTTGGTTTACTAAATAGTCAATTAAAGTTAACAATGACAATGATTGCATTGTTCACATTTCTTTTCAGTATGTCCATGGCAGCTAAGCTACTGAACTTGATAACCATATACCACTTTGGGGATTTTGTAGATTTATATAACTTACTTTTAATGTACACTCTGATGCCAACCAGGCTTGCAATGCTATTTTTATGGGAACCAACACTGCCATTCCCAAATTCAAGGTAGGGCCCTGGAGCCTATGAATACACCAATGAGAGGCAGTCAGCTTGCAGTTGCTCATTTCTCTTATCATCTGTCTTGCCTTAGCATTGACTCCTTACCTCCTCAGATAGAGAAAAAATAAGGATATATTTAGTTAACTTCTTTGTAAATTTGGGACTATTTGTGAGAATACTTTTTTTTAATTTAAATTTTATTTTTATATTCCCCATACAATTACAACCCCCTTATTTTTACCCCAAGCCCTCCTTTCCCCGCCCCCCACCCTCCATAGAGTGTCTCTTGTTCATAGTTACTTGTTGATTTTGATATTTTCTTTCTTATGGTTATTCTTTTTCCTGGTCCCTTATTTAAGTTTTCTAGATTCCTGCTATGAGTGAGACCATCCGGTATTTTTCTTTTTCTTTCAAAGAGCACCTGCACCCCTATGTTTATAGCAGCACTATTTACAATAGCTAAGCTTTGGAAACAACCCAAATGTCCAAAAATAGATGACTGGATCAAGAAGATGTGGTACATATACACCATGAAATATTACTCAGCATTCAAAAAAGATAAACACATGCAATTTGCAGCAACATGGATGGCACTGGAAGGGATCATGCTCAGCGAAATAAGCCAGAGAGAATACTTTTTTTTTTTATTTTTTTATTTTTTAAAGAGGCATGTTTTATTTATTTATTTATTTGTTTGTTTGTTTATACATGCACTGGGTACAGTCAGAAGCACGGGAGGGTGAGAGAATTCACCAGAGCCAGAGCGGGGAGCAGAACAGGCAGAAGGACTGAAGTACACTGCTGAGGGGAGCAGCGGGCGGCAGGAGAGGTCTGCGTGCCATGTGGGACCCTCCTCCGGTGGCCGTGGAGCAGCCGGGGATTGAACCGGCGCCGCAGAGGCTGCGGGCAGCTTCGCAACCCAGCGCTCAACAGCTGCACCACCGGGGAGGCCCGAGAATACTTTTTTTTAAAGATTATTTATTTTATACAAGAACCAGGGTACAGGCCAGATGTGTGCGGGAGGGTGAGAGGATTCACCAGAGACAGAGCGGGGAACAGAACAGGCAGACTGATGAATACACTGCTGAGGGGAGCAGCGGGCGCAACAGGAGAGGTCTGTTGTGCCAAGTGGGACCCTTGCTGGCCGGCCGGGATCGAACGGGTGCTGCAGAGGCTGTGGACAGCTTCACAGGGCGGTGCTCAACCGCCTGCACCACCAGGGAAGGCCCTGTGAAAATACTTTTGATTTGCATTTCCTTTTCAAGAATTGAGCCTGGGAGAAGCAAGCAGGATCATACCATAGCTCAGAGGAATCTTCTGCTTTATTGTAGTTGGTCATCACTTTTTCTGGTTTCTCTCAGGAGGTTGTTGTGATCCTTTCTCACCTTGGTTGTTATTGACAACATTTTGCTCTTTTAAAATAAAATACATTAATTAGACCAATCTAAGAATTTTTTTGGCCAGACTTCTATTCAGCTGGGAAAGGCCAGTTTTAAATTAAACTTCATGAAGTTTAATTTAAAAGTAAAAGTTCTACTATATCTGAGATGACATGAAACACAGAATAAAGATCTCCTGTTTGATTAAATAAAAAAAAAAAAATACACATAGGGCCTCCCTTGTAGCCTATGGGTTAAGTCTCAGCACTATTACAGCAACAGCCTGAGTTCGATCCCCGGTCAGGGAGCTGACTTACATGGTGCAGCAGATCTCTCCTGACTCACCCACTGCTCCCCTCAGCAGTGTATTTCAGTCAGTCTGCCTGTTCTGTTCCCCACTTCTCTCACCCCCATCCCTCTGGCCGCACCCCGGTTCTTCTGCATAAGAAATAAAAAATAAATACATATATATTTGTTACTTAGATATTGGTGGACAGTATGTGACCCAGCCTCGTGATCCCATCTTTTGCAGAAACAGTCTCAGTTTATATTGCTTAAGTAAAGGAGTCACTCAAATGACTCTTAGTGAGACACCGAATGCTTCAAGGGCACTTGTTATGTTATTCTATGCAGAAAAGAGACTGGCAGTTTCTTTTCCTGGAAAATGTTGTGTTCTGTCTAATCAGTTATTCCATAATACATACATGAGTGAGGACATACTTCCTGACAAGCTTTGTTTAATATACAGTTGACTAAACAAAACACCTTTTTCTTTCTTTGCACATACTTTCTGCTTCCTAAGCTATCATATCAGTCTTTTGTTATTATTCCTTCACATATTTCCCATTTTGAGAAACATTCCTTAAGTTTCTATTCATTAACTTACATCCCTTATCTCTTCTCACGTCTTCTATTAAGGGAAAAATGGTACGCTCTGGTGATTTCCCAAATCACAGTCCCTCATTTTATTTTTTTAAGTATTTGATTTTTTTTTTTAGAGAAGTTTCAGGTTTACAGCAAAATTAGGAAGAAGGTACAGAAGATTTTCCAAATATTCCTGCCTGCATATAGGCATAACTTCCCCATTGTCAACATCCTCCATGAGAGTAAAGCTTTTGTTACAGCTGATGCACCTAGACTGATACATTATAATCAAAGTTCACAGTTTACCTGAGACTTCATCCTTAGCTACTATATGGTGTTGTACAGTCTGCATATTTGGAAAATTTTATGACATGTATCCATCATTGCAGTATCATAGAGTATTTTTGCAGCTCCTTTAAAAAGCCTCTATATCCCACCTATTTGTCCCCCACCCCAATCCCTGACCTTTATATTATCTCCATAGTTTTGCTTTTTACAGATTTATATATAGTTGGATCCTACAGCATGTAGCCTTTTCAGATTATCTTCTTTCACTAAGTACTATGCATATAAGATTCTTCCATGCTCATCATAGCCTAATAGCTCATTTCTTTTTAGTGCTAAATAAAAGTTCATTGTACCATTACTGAAGGACAAGTTGATTGTTTCTAAGATTTTGCAATCATAAATGCATTGCTATAAACATCTAGGTGCAGGTTTTTGCGTGGGCATCAGTTATCAACTCCTTTGGGTAAATACTGTGACTGCCAGGATCACAGTGGTAAATGTGTATTTAGTTTAGTAAGAAATCACCAAAATGTCTTCCAATAAGACCATCATCTTGCATTCTTACCTACAAGGAATAACAGTTTGTTATTCCACATTCTTGCCAGCTCTAGTTTGTCAGTGGTCCAGATTTTGGACATTATAATAGAAGTGTAGCAGTAATTCATTTAATTTTCATTTTTCTCTGATGACATGTGATGTGGAACGTCTTTTCATGTGCTTATTTGCCATCTGTCTGTCTTTGCTGAGGTGTCTGTTAAGGTGTTTGTTCTATTTTAAACTCAGCTTATTTTGATTTCTTCTTGTTGAGTTTTAAAAGTTTAAGTGTGTGTGTCTGTACATTTTGTATAAGAGTCTTTTATGAGATTTATTTTGTAAATCTTTTGTCCCAGGCTGTGGGCTGTTTTCTAATTCTCTTGACATTATCTTTCACAGAGCAGAATTTTAATTGAAGACTAACTTTTACTATTTCTTCCATGGATCATCTTTTGGTGTTATAGGTACAGAAATTATGCCATTCCCAAGGTCATCTAGGTTTCTACTATGCTATCAGCTAGAAGTTTTACAGTTTTGCCGTTTAGGTCTGTGATTCCTTTTTTTTTTTTTTAATATTTATTTATCTATACATGCAAGAACTGGGGCACAGGCCAGAGGTGTGGGGGGTGAGAGGACTCACCAGAGACAGAGTGGGGAACAGAAGAGGCAGATCCACTGAAATACACTGCTGAGGGGAGCAGCGGGCAAGTTAGGAGAGATCTGCTGTGCCATGTAGGTAGCTCCCTGGAGGGATTGAACTAGTGCTGCAGTGGCTGAGAATAGCCTCTTAGGCTGTGTCTTAACCCCTTGCGCCACGAGGGAAGCCCATGACTCATTTTGAGTTACTTTTTCTGAAGGATATAAGGTCTGTGTCTAGATTTCTTACTTTCTTTTTTTGTTTTGCATGTGGCTACCCAATTTCACCAGGACCATTTGTTAAAATGACTATTTGGGGCCTCCCTGGTGTCACAAGGCATTAAGTACAGCACTTTGATGCTATCTGCAGCCACTGCAGCATGAATTCAATCCCCAGCCAGCCAGGGAGCAACCCACATGGCACAGCAGACCTCTCCTGCCTTGCCCACTGTTCCTCTCTCAGCAGTGTATTTCAGTCCGTCTGCCTATTCTGTTCCCCACTCTCTCTGGTGAATCCTCTCACCTCCTGCACCTTTGGCCTGTCCCTCAGTTCTTGTATGCATAAAATAAATAAATCTTTAAAAAAATGACTATCTTTGTTTAATTGTATTACTTTTATCTCTCTGCCAAGGATCAGTTAACTATCTTTTTGTGGATCTGGAAATTCAATTCTGTCCCATTGATCTATATGTCTATTTCTTTGCCAACTCCACACTGTCTTAATAACTGTAATTTTATAGTAAGTCTTGCATTCAGGGAGTGTCAGTTTTCTAACTTTGTTCTCCTTTAATATTGTTATGGCTATTCTAGGTCTTTTGCCTTGTCATAAAACTTTGGAATCAATAATCACCAACTAAATTACTGGAAATTTGATTGGGAGACTTCCGCTTCATTCCTGTCCCAGAGCCTATTACCATCAAGTTGCTCCTGACTTAACAAACTCCCTGCTACTGTCTTCTACATAATTTCTCCTTTCCTGTTCAAAATTACATCACTTGATTTCTCTATCCCCCTGTTAGGGGGAAATGATGTCCTGAGTTAATCCCATACAGGCTTTGTGTACCCCACCCCCACTCCAGACTAAAGCCATCAAGACTCTGGGAAAGACAAATCCCATCACCACCAAGGGAGGGTGGCTGGGACCTGAGGGTGGAGTTGGGCAGCCAGGTTGGATATAAAAAACCAAACACGTGGGCCTTGGGCTCTCTCTGGCTCGCGATCGCTCGCCTCCTGGCTTCATGGCTCCTGGCTGGCGGCCAACTCTGAGAGCGCCATTTTGGGATTCCTGATCTGCGGATCGGGTAGGACTCATTTAAAACTTTGTCTCCCACTTTTTCTCCCAGAGCTGTACATTTCCTCATTTCCCCTTCCCTTGTAAATAAACCTTTTATTAACCTTTCACATGTGCCTGCAGTAGAGCATTGATAAGTCCTTTTAAGCACGCGGGTGAGGACCCACAGTCAGGCACCCCGTTTTGTATCGGGTTGCTCTATAACACCCCTAACAAAAACTTTAATAGTCATGAGCAGAGACACAATGTACTTTAAGTCTCACTGACAAGTGTGATTATATGGTTAGTTCTATGACTTTCTTAAAAGTATTAGCCTTAACCAAGTGAAAATCTACCTAACTGGCTGAGGATCAAGGAGTTTTTGGGTTGGGGATATTTACTTTACCTTTCCACAAAGACTGGCCTTTATAGTTTGGAGTGGATAAAAGTGAGGGGGCAAGCTTTCCTTTGATCTTGAGAGAGGAGAAAAATGTTTTAGGAATATAATTCTTTCTACCAGAGATTCACAGAAGACCCAACTTAGAAAAGTCAACCTACTTCCCGTTTCTTCTCATCTTGCCAGTTATAGATGGATGGTAGGTTTGTTGTAGAGCAACCCCGATACAAAACGGGGTGCCTGATTGTGGGTCCTCACCCGCGCGCTTAAAAGGACTTATCAGTGCTCTACTGCAGGCACACGTGAAAGGTTAATAAAAGGTTTATTTACAAAGGGGAGGGGAAATGAGGAAATGTACAGCTCTGGGAGAAAAGTGGGAGACAAAGTTTTAAATGAGTCCTACCCGATCCGCCTATCTGGAATCCCAAATGGCACTCTGAGAGTTGGCCGCCAGCCAGGAGCCATGAAGCCAGGAGGCGAGCGATCGTGAGCCGGAGAGAGCCCAAGGCCCACTTGTTTGGTTTTTTATATCCAACCTGGCTGCCCAACTCCACCCTCAGGTCCCAGCCACCCTCCCTTGGTGGTGACGGGATTTGTCTTTCCCAGAGTCTTGATGGCTTTAGTCTGGAGTGGGGGTGGGGTCCACAAAGCCTGTATGGGATTAACTCAGGACATCACTTCCCCCTAACAGGTTCTGGTTTTATTCACCCTGAGAGTCAAGAAACTTTGAAAAACATTTAGAGGATCTCTACAGCCCAAGAGAGCTGAGTTCAAATTCTTGGATGGAGCTATAACCTAGATCTAATGTGACCTTGGGCAAGTTATGTAATCTCTTTGAGTTCAGGTTTTTTCATTTGCAAAACAGAGATGCAACCCCTGTAGTGTTGCTGAGCTTTAAAGGAGATAAATAAAATACCTATGATATAGAGAAAGTGTTTAATAAACGGGTTTTTTTTTAAAGATTTTTATTTATTTTATACAAGAACCGGGGTACAGGCCAGATGTGCAGGAGGGTGAGAGGATTCACCAAAGACAGAGTTGGGA